CAGGTTTTACATAGTAAGTGTGAGGCACAGACATGCTATAAATAGAAATGTGTTCTTCCCATTGGTACTCGCTGATTAATATAGACCACCACACACATCCCTCTAGGGGGTTTTAGGCAATGCAGGATGCATATACTACAAATATTCTCATGGTTAAATTAAATTGAGGTCTAACACAGAATACACATAGAGGGAGAACGAGCATCCTGTGAACTTAATGCTAGTTTGAAAGACCAATACTCACCACACGGTGTTCTCACTTCTTACAGATTAAGTTATGTTTGGACACTGCAAATATTTCAAGTATTCTCTCAGAACCTGTTCACTCTAAATGATGTTTCGGCCTATCATTTGCTCTTGCAGCCAGAATAAATCTTCAAAAATCTTCCACCGCTACCATGTAACATAACTTGAAGGTGTCTCGGCTTTAAATTCTGCACCCACATGAACTACAGCTTCTCAATCTCTGTGACTCGACCTGAAAATATTTCTTGACTTTATCTGCATAGGAGTGCTATTTTTAATGCAATGACCTGCTCTGTCCAAAAATATCTGGATTCAGTAGATACACCAGGCTTAGCACAGCCCTCTGCAGCAAACTGTAATCAGTATACTGTCTGAAGTTTGCCAACATCATCAGTTAACAGCATGCTTACTAATAATAACAGCCTAACAACCAATCAATGTGACTAGCTTGTTGCTGTCATAAGTGGCACTCTGTTCATCTTATTAAGCAACAATTAAACAATCATTGTCAGTTTCTGCAGTCAGGCAGTTAGCGTGCCAAATGCTAAACATGTTGCTATCTACAACAATGAGTTTAAAAGTAACAGAGGTAGAGTTATATAATCAAGATTGGCCTTAATATGTGATACTTAACCTGTGTGGGTGTGACTATATGCTATGGATAAATATATAGCATTCCACCCCTCGGTCTATCTGATGCTGTCATTATTTAAAAGCAAAAAAGCCCTAAAACAAATAATTACAAACTCTACATACCATCTAATAGCCAGCAGCTCTTCTCGTTGAAAAAGAAGACAGATTGGATTGTCAGTGAGAAAATGACCATGCTCCTTACTTTATTTATTACACCAAAAGAAAAGTTTTTCTTAATGAGGTTATCAAAATACCCCTTAGATACAGCCCAGTGCTCATTGTGTGAATTATGGTCCCATTTACAGCAACATAGGCAATAAAGTAGGGTATGCTTTAGGGCATGGCTACCCTGTATTTGATAAGTTGCTACTGTATGAGTAAGTCCTTCAGTTTCTCATCCCGCTTCTTGCTCCGTTTGTCAGATTTTTTTCTTTTTGCTAATTTAATGACAAAAGCCAAAATGCTCAGTTCAAGGCTCCACGTGGTGGTGAAGCAGCAACATCCATCTTTTAGGGATTTGTATATATGGAAGGAATGTGCAGCAGTTAGGCTACTAAACATCTTTATGCTGAAGAGAGGAGGAGGA